CAATGAGTTTGATTTTGCTCTTTGAGTTTGAGGGTCTACCATCCAGGTGGTCATGTTCCTTTGTCTTCAACAAACTTCTCTTTCAGATCCCAATTTAAATATAATTTCATTAGCCTTCCATTATGCCCACACTGGTTTAGGTCCACTGCCTCACACTGCCAAAGCATCCTATACTCCTTTGTGGCACACATCATGGTTGTAATTTTAATCATTTATCCAGCATCTGTCTTCTGCCATCACACTATAAGTAAGCCCTATGAGATCAGAGACTGGGTTCCAGGTCTGTTTGTCCCCAGCATTGTATACCCAGTACTTAGCACAGTTCCTGGCACGGCAAATATTAACTGAAGGAACCAATGTCCTGTAGGTCAATGGACACACAAGTGTGTAGCCCAGGAGACATCTGGGCTAGAGAGGTGAATGTGAGAATTATCAGCATATTAGACATAGTTAAAGCTATAAGAGAAAATTAGATGTCTAAAGAAAAGTGACTTAGAAATGGATTGGGTCCATGATAAAACTCTCAACTACAACAGTATTTAAAGGGCTGGTAGGGAATTCCCTGGTGATCCAGTGGTTAGAACTCCATGCTTCCACTGCAGGGTACCGGTTGGATGCCTGGTTGGGGAACTAAGATCCCACATGCCGTGCAGCATGTCCAAAAATTAAACAAAGATACAAATAAATAAATAAAGGGCTGGCAGAAGAAGAGGTGTCTTCAAGCGTGCCTGAGAAGGAACATCAGTAAGGAGGGTAGCAGAAATAATAAAAGGGACTAGACTATCAGCAGTGATTCTGATAAGGAGTAGGGAGGGAGAATTAGAGAAATTAAGTGGGACAGATTATCAGGAGTGCTGGCTGTCAGACTAAAAAGTTTGGGTTTGGACCCTTAAGCAACAGGAGTGGCTGAATTTTGTCTTGGAAATGGCACCATCATCAATTTCCAAGCCTCTGGCAGCAACAGTCCTCTCAGATTTGACTTTTGCACTTTTTCATCTGCTCTAGTCATTGTTCATTCAGGCCAAGGATGAGAGTGGGAAAAGGGGGAAAAGCATTTCAGATGGGGAAATGGCATGTACAGAAGGCCCAGAGGGGAGACTACACTGCATTTGAGGTACTGGAAAGAGTCTAACATGGTCAGAACTGACTTGCTGGGGAAAAAAGGCTGGAATAATGTTTCAGATAATGGAGGTTTGGGCCAGAGCCTGGAGGGATTAGCCAGAAGTTTGGACTTTGTGCTGACAGCAGTGGGAGCTGTGACTGAATTTTCAGCCAACTTGCCTTTAGGTGAAATTGCCTGTAGGTGAAATTACTCTAGCTGGACTATACAGAATGTGTCAACAGAATGCCCCAGCTTGCCTTAGGACTTCTTTTTTTTTTTTTTTTGGCAGCACCGCATGGCATGTGGGATCTTAGTTCCTGGACCAGGGATCGAACCCATGCACCGTGCTGTGGAAGCACGGAGTCTTAACCACTGGACCGCCAGGATAGTCCTGCCTTAGGACTTCTAAATACACAGAGAGATTGAGAGAGGAAGTTAGAAAGATGGATAGGTTGATAGATGGATGGCTAGATAGATACTGAAAATGGGGATCAAATGAAAGTTTACAGATTGAATGTTGAGACTTGCCCCAGACTCCCTCTTCACCCAGCTCTGAGATTACCTACAACCAGGCTTACACCCTCCAGGCAGGAGTTTGGAAGCATCTTCTCTGGGAAATCTAACCAGACAAGGAAAAAGACCTAATGGTACTGACATCAGGGGTTCCTCAAGGAAATGGCCTCATGGCTCACCCTATAGTAAAGTTCACGGTCCACATGCCTCCCTACATCCCATACAGACACACTCACAGTTTCCAATCAGTGCCTTGGTGTCCTGATCTTAAATATGAGCAGACAACTGAGGATTACCAGACATTTGAGGAAAGACTTTAAAATGAAAGACAGAGGCCAAAACAAAGAAAGAAGGAAAAGTTTAGAAGAAATACAGACTACACAAGGAGAAAAACATTTTTAAAAAAACCTGTGGTGGATATTCTCAGATAAGAAAAGAACATATATCCATGAAACAAAAACAATGTTTTTAAAATGCAGAGAATAAAAGAGAGTTCTTAGAAATTAAAAACATGAGAGCAAAAATAAAAATTCAGTAGAAGGAGGTATGAAATGTGCAACATGATAAAAATAATTAACATCGCTGTACGTTATATATGAAAGTTGTTAAGTTCTCATCACAAAAAATTTTTTATTTCTTTAATTTTGTAACTGTATGAGATGATAGATGTTCACTAAACTTATTGTGATAATCACTTCATGATGTAAGTAAATCAAATCATTATGCGGCACACCTTAAACTTATACAGTGCTGTTATGTCGATTATATCTCATTAAAACTGGAAGAAAAATAAATAAATAAAATCAATTAGGGGAATTAAAAAATTTCAGTAGAAGGGTTGGAAAATAGAAATTAAAGAAATCTCCCAGAAAGTAGAGCCAGAAAATGAAGGAGATGGGGAAAAAGGAAAGAAAAAAAAATTTGTTTTTAATTATAGGATTAGTCCATGGGATTCAACATCTGAATAACAACAAAAGTTCCAGAAAGAGATCACAGAGATAATGGAGGGAGAAAATCATCCAAAAAATAATAATAAAAATTTTAAATGTTTCCATAACTGAAGAACATGAGTTTCCAGATTGCAAAGACCCACTGAGAAAACACTAAGACATTTCCATGGAAGATTTCAGAATGCTAGGATAAAGAGATGATCCTAAAAGCTGTGGTTGGGGAAAGAGGGAAGGAAAATAAAAATAAGCTTCATACATAGGATTCAGAATAAGAAATTTCAGGTTTCTGAACAGCAATACAGCAAACTTTCAGTTTCTGAAGCTCGAAGACAATGGAGAAATGCCTTCAAAATTCTTAGGGTAAATTATTTCTAATCTAATATTTGATACCCATCCACACTGTCAATTAAGTACAAGAGTAGAACAGACATTTTCAGACGTGTAAGGTTCCAACAAATTTACCTCCCAGGCATCCTTTCTCAAGAAACTCCATCAAAGTAAACCGAGAAAGGTGAGTACATAGGTTCTGGGAAACAGGCTGTCAAGAGCGGGGCAAAGGTCCCTAAGATGGATGTGAAAGGAGACTCCAACAGTGCAGCCTAAAGATCAGACTGTGTGCTGGAGCAGGTCTAAGGGCTCCGTGAGAAAGTTCTTCAAAATGAAATAGATCAAATTCCTTACGTGTTTGTATATTCTTAAGAAGAGATTAACATAACTAAGGGAGAACTGGGGGATAAATTAGAGTACGCAGAAAACTAAGCAAATGAATATAGGAGACAAGGCAAGTATTAATTTCAGGGAAAACAAAAATGATGCAAGAAAGAAGGGCTTCCCTGGCGGCGCAGTGGTTGAGAATCTGCCTGCTAATTCAGGGGACACGGGTTCGAGCCCTGGTCTGGGAAGATCCCACATGCCACGGAGCAACTAGGCCCGTGAGCCACAATTACTGAGCCTGCGCGTCTGGAGCCTGTGCTCCGCAACAAGAGAGGCCGCGATAGTGAGAGGCCCGCGCATCGCGATGAAGAGTGGCCCCCGCTTGCCGCAACTAGAGAAAGCCCTCACACAGAAACGAAGACCCAACGCAGCCAAAAATAAATAAATAAATAAATAAATAAATTAAAAAAGAAAGAAAAACACCTATAACAATCCTCATGGCTCAACTGTGAAGAGCATTTGCATAATCATAACATGTAAATACGAAACACAGATCCATCCAGAGTTATGATATAATATTGGAAGGATGGAAGGATGGGAAGTAGGGATGGGGTGAAAGAGGGGTTGGAAAAGAGGGTTAGCAATGGGAGGTCAATACTAGTGCTCGAAACAGAAACATCAAGAAGTAGCAATATCTGGACTTCCCTGGTGGTGTAGTGGTTAAGAATCCGCCTGCCAATGCTAGGGGACACGGGTTCGAACCCTGGTCCGGGAAGATCCCACATCTTCAGAGCAACTAAGCCCGTGTGCCACAACTACTGAAGCCCACGTGCCTAGAGCCCGTGCTCCGCAACAAGAGAAGCCACTGCGATGAGAAGCCTGCGCGCCGCAACGAAGAGTAGCTTCCATTCGCCGCAACTAGAGAAAGCCCGTGCGCAGCAACGAAGACCCAATGCGGCCAAAAAAAAAAAAAAAAGAAAAAAGTAGCAATATCTGTATGCCATTTTGAATTTGAAATATGAAGGTGAATACAAACCCCCCCCATAACAATACAATTTAAAAACTCAATTGAACATGATTGACTCTGAAGAGTTAGGGGAATTGGGAGACTACTGTTTTCTTATATAGGTCTTGTAGAGATATTTGACACTTTAAATAGTGTACTGTATATCTATGATTAAAAAAAAAATAACCCCATGGAAGGGGGTAGTTACAGAAGGAGGCTGGAAGATCAGTTAGGAGGTTATAGCAATTTTCAAAGAGAGGAGATAGTGGGAGTGGGGTTAGGGATGTGGACAGATTTGAGAGATATTTTTCTCTATTCTTTCTTTAAAAATCCTTCCCCCTAAATGCCCTCCCCTCTGTTCTCCCTGGAATGGCCAGAACCCAGGTGATTTTCACTCTATACTAGTCAGCCCCAGCACTTAATAGAATCACCCTACAGGAGGTTAATGAAGTGATGAGTGGGTGGGAGACCATGGGGTGGCTGCAGAATGGATTGATGCTGGGGTGCAAAGACACCCTATGAAAACTGGTAAGATCTGGGTCAGGATGAGCGAATAACAAAAAACAAGTGTAAACTCCGAAAAGCAAAGACAAAACAGGACGGGGGCAAGATACATTTTGGAAATATTAAGTTTCCTAGTTCATACTCTTATTTATTTATTTTTGGCTGTGTTGGGTCTTCGTTTCTGTGCGAGGGCTTTCTCTAGTTGCGGTGAGACGCGCATAGTCGCTCTGCGGTATGTGGGATCTTCCCAGACCGCGCCACCAGGGAAGCCCTCCTAGTTCATACTCTTTTCTTCTGCATTAGCATTTAAAGTTTTATTTATTCATTTTTCTGAAGTACTACATGGGCGAGGCACAAAATTCAGAAGATCCAAAGTGGTATGGGGAAGAGTCCCCTTCCTTCCGTTACCTGGACACCCAGTTCCTCTCCCTGGAAGCGACCACTCTCTGCTTGTTTGTGTGTCCTTCCAGAAATAACTCATTCTGAGTTCAGTTTTAAAAGTGCCGTCAAAAGATAACTTGTTCATGTTAAAAAGATATTCATCCCTGCAGATTAGATGAGCCAAGGGCATGAAACTGGATTCTTCTGGCTCCCATCTGTGGAAGGGGCTGACAAGCTTCATTATTTCTCAATCAAGTTTGTCCTAAAGGCCCATCTGTTGTAAACTCGTTTTAAGGGCCCCAAATTGGCACCCCTCTGGAAGAATTTGGGCATTTGAAGTGTTGTTTGGCTGAATTGTATTTTTTTTAAATTTCGAATTTTGAGATGGATCTTCAACTCTCTAGACTCCATGGATCCTGTTTTTTACAATTGACACATGTATGTTACCTTCTTGTCCACTTTCAGTGTCTAAATTATGACCATTTAACCAATGGTTCCTCCACAAGAGGAATAATATGTCACCACTGAAAGTGATGATGTGTTTAATAACTTAGGCAGATGTTTCTGATTTATTGTTAAATGAAAAAACAGGTTGCAAAAGAGTTGATCCCATAAATCCCCCCGCACTTAACTAATTGTATGTATATATGTACATTGAAAAAATCTAAAGAATCAATACCAAAGGGTTAAGAGTAGAGATGTAAGTAAGGCTATGGATTTTATTTTTATATGTCCCTTCAAACTTCTCTACAACAAACCTGCATTACGAAATATGATGAAAGTAGGAAATGAACCTGTTTCCCTTCTTGTCTCCATGCGTCCTAAAGGTTTGTTTTGGTTCTGCTGAACTGAAAATAAAGGCTTTGTGACTTTTGAAAAAGAAAAAGCACTCGCTAGGTGAGTGGATTTTTTGAAAAGTTGGGGCCAGTGGTCCTTCCCAGTGTCCCTAAAATGCCACCACCAGGTGGCAGCCTGCTCCATCTGTTGAGTCGGTGGGCCTGCCTCAGTCTCGGATTCTACACAGCCCAGTCCAGACACTGGAGACCTTTGTCTGGGTCCCAAGCCCGAGCAACAAGCCTGATATGTGTGCTAGAGGCCAGAGTCAATACTCTGGTCCATTGTGGGTGAAAGTCATCTTAGGCCCACTTTTATCCCCAGGAGCAACATCCACTGACCAGAAGACACTGAGGAAGGGTCGTAATAGCTGAAGCTTGTCACATCCTCAATTCCTCCACCCAACACCACATCAACACATGGGAATTCTCATTTATTTTTCACCCTTAACAAGGAGGTGGGAAGCCTTGCCTCTTCCTCACCTCTGTTCTTTCCGTCTGGGAGTATTCACTTCCAACCCTCCTTCCCTTCCTTCAGGGAGGCCTTGGTCAGTGGAGGCAGTCTCTGAGGACTGCTTGAGCTGGTGGGGATGAAGAAGCTGAAATAGAGATCCGCAAGGGATGGCGTCACTTTCCTGCCAACTCCCTCATCGCCTCTCCTTCAAAGCGAAAGCAGTGCCAACCTTCAGCTTCCGTCAGATCTTGGGCTCCTAGGGCCTTATACAAGTCCATAGCCCCCTTGTTCCAGTCTAGGACTGCCAGGCGGAGCTGGGAGCAGCCCTTATCCAGGGCCACCTGTGGGAGAAGACACCACTCACTTTCCTGGGTCAAAAAGGAAAAGACTTGCTCGCCCTCCATTCAACCCAGGTGCCTCCCATACAGCTTTGCTTTGCCAGGGCCCAGCCTGTAGCCCCATCCCTCTCCTCACCTCAGCCACTTTTTTGATTATTTTGGAGCCAATCCCCTGACCTGATGTGGGGAGAAAAAGGCAAAAAGAGGGATCGTCTGAGTTGAAGGGGACCAGAAAAGACCATAGGCTAGGATTAAGAGGCAAGGGATGGTGGTCCAGTCTATAGGTTGCTTTTCTCCCATCCCGGCCTCTGCCCAGTACCCCGATACTCTGGCTTCACGTAGATGTCTTCCAGATAAATGTTTCGTCCCTTCCATGTGCTGTAGATGAAGTAGTATAGCCCATAGCCCACCACACAGGGCCCTGAGAGAGAAAAAAAGAAGGGTCAGGCCGCTGGGCACCTGGGGGAGAGACCTTTGAGGCTGACTGGAGAAGGCACCTCTGAGGTCAGGGTGCTCTTACCCTGTGGCTCCCCGGGCGCAGGAAGAATCTCTGCTACCAAACAGTGATAGAAAGGATTCTCTCCAAAGCCATCTGCTCTCAGGGCTGCAGAGATCGGAGTTGTGACAAAGAGATAGAGAAAGAAGGCCTGGGTGTGTGCCCAGTCTGGAGTTACTGCCTGGGGAACCCATCCGTCACTTCCACCCCAGCCTCCGTCAGGACTCAGGTGTTGGGCCCGTACCTTCTTCACTGATCTTCACCTGGTCTGAGAGTTTCTCGTACTCAGCGAGTTCCTACAGCGTGCGGACAGAGGCTAGATTAAGGCAGGAGGGCCTCACTGCTCCCTAAGCAGGAGCCCTGGGCGCGCTCCTCCCTCTGCTCCCACCTCCTCCTTCCCGTCCCCACTCCAGCAGCGCCGCTCTGACCCCCTCTGGGACCCCGGTTTCCGGCCCGCAGCCCTCACCCGAATCAGCCTCAGGATATTTCCACAGTCTCCCTCCTTGGCTTCTCGGATCAGCACGGAAGCCATCCCGATCTCCACCGTCTGGAACCGAAGTCCAGGATCCCCACTTCCGTTCTGCAGGACCGGACGAAGAGCAACGGGGACCCTTTAAGGGGCCTCCAAATTCGGATCCCGGAAAGCCGGGGGAGTGGTGGGGAGCGAGGTGGTGGGGGAGCCGCGGGCTGGGAAGCAGAAGCCCGATTCCGGCTGCCGCGGGGCGGAGAGAGTGGTGGGACTAGCGGTCCGCACAGCCTGGTAGCCCCTAATTTCGGGCCCCTACAGCCCGCACCTGCCAGCCAATCAGCTTGCAGAGCAGGCATGTCCCCGCCCCCCGCGCACCCGCCGCCCCCCAGCTCTACCCCTATGGCCGGGTCTCTTGACCGCACACCCCGCAGGGGTCAAGGCTGGACTGCCGAGGCTTCCTCGTTGTTGTTATCTGGGTGTTCCAGCCTCCGTTGGAGAAACTCCACGGCTCAAAAGATACCTCCTTCTTTAACTGAAGTGTGCAGTGATACCTCCTCTACCCTTCACCCCAACTCACCCATTCCAGCCCATCCAGACTCGGGGTGAGCCCCAAGACCTCCAGCTCTTGCCTACTGGCTCAAAGTGTTACTCCTCTTGGGGGCATTTGTATTTTAAGATGGGTCAGGGAGAGGGTGATGAATTTCTACTGGTAAATGGTTAGGCCTTGTAGTCGACGGCTAAGAGAAGATAATGGTGGGGGGGGACCAGGACTCTTAGTATCCACTGAATCACACTCAGAGACAATACCTCCCTATGCAGCAAGCCTCAGAGGCCTGGGAAAATACTAAGGGAAGAGCTCAGAGCAGATACCAGGCACTGTGCCTGTATCATCTCGATTCATCCTCATTCACAGTAACTCTGGAAAGTAAGTATTTTTCACATTTTGCAGACAAGGACACTAAAGCACACAGGTGGGGTGACTTACCCACAGTCACCCAGCTAGTATTTGGGATTCTATGTCTCACAGCTCTAGGCCTTATGGAGGATGCTACTTGGGGATCTGGGCATGTCTGTTTCTAGATCTCATGTTTGTCCTCAAGGCAGCCTCCGCAGGTGGGCAGAAGGCTTGGAGGACCCAGGTCAGGCTCTAGAAGGAGAGGGGAAGTGAGGTGTCCTCTCCCAGCTCAGAAACCTTCTCAGCAGTGGGGGAGGGTAGTGGAGGAACTCTGTTCCTCACTCCATTTGTCCTCAGAGGGGCCGTAGGGTCAGTGGCCCTGTCTCCTGCCCCCCTTCTTCCCCCGGGGCAACATTTAACCCTCCACCAACCATGTGTGACGCTGCCTGCCCCCACGCATTCTCCTCAGAGTTGTCTGAGGCACAGAGAGGACCGCGGCTGATTATGGAGAGCGGAGGTCCACCGGCCACATGGCATGGGCTGCCGCTGCTGCTGCTACTGCTGCCTCCCAGCCATGAAGGATGAGCCGTGAGACATACTCTCCCCAGACAGGTACAGGAGCAGGACAGGGCGCTAAGCCCTGTGTGTGTTTAAGTGAGCTACACTTTAGCTCTGCTCTCTTCCTTTCTTTCCTCCTCTGGACTTGTAGCAGTGCTTCTCCCTCCTGTCTGTCTCTGGCACATCTTATTTCAGCTTGTTTATTTTTTCTCTCTGGCAGAGGACTCAGGACCGGCCTGCTCTGCACCTCAGCAATGGCCCTGGACAAGAACTTGTAACCATCATGACTTTTAACCTCACCAAGATCATAAAGTATGGGGTTGACCTAATTCTTTGACCTAGTCCCCTGACCTTACCCTCTCTCCAACAGCTCCTCTCTCTCTTTTTTTTTTGCTTTATTTAATTGAAGTATAGTTGATTTACAATGTTGCGTTAGTTTCTGGGGTACAGCAAAGTGATTGAGTTTTATATATACATGTATTTATGATACATGTTATATATATATTCTTTTTCAGGTTCTTTTGCATTATGGTTTATTACAAGATATTGAATATAGTTTCCTGTGCTATACAGTAGGACGTTGTTGCTTATTTTTATTTTCCAAAAATATTCTTTATTGAGATCATTGCTCCTAAAACAGAAGCAAAAAGCAGAGACCAAACATGGTAGTAAGATGTGATTAAAAAAAAAAAAAGATGATAAAATATAAGCTGGCACATTTCAAGGAATAAGCAACAGAAGTTGCTTATCTATTTTATATATAGTAGTTTGTATCTGTTAATCCAAACTCCCAATGTATCCCTCCCCACCTTCCCCTTTGGTAGCCATGAGTTTGTTTTTTATGTCTGTGAGTCTTTCTGTTTTGCAAATAAGTTCATTTGTATCAGTTTTTAAATTCCACTTGTAAGTGATAGCATATGGTATTTTGTCTTTGTCTGATTTACTTCGCTTAGTATGATCATCTCTAGGTCCATCCATGTTGCTGCAAATGGCATTGTTTCATTCAAATTCAATATTCATTCAAATATTTATTTATTTATTTGGCTGTGCTGGGTCTTATTTGCAGCATGTGGGATCTTCGTTGCGGCATTCAGGATCTTTAGTTGCCGCATGTGGGATCTAGTTCCCTGACCAGGGATGGAACCCAGGCCCCCTGCACTGGGAGCTTGGAGTCTTAACCACTGGACCACCAAGGAAGTCCTTGTTTCATTCTTTTTCATGGCAGAGTAATATCCCATTGCATACATGTACTACATCTTCTTTATCTATTCATCTATCGATGGACATTTAGGTTGCTTCCATGTCTTTGCTATTATAAACAGTGCACCAGCCCCGCTCTTTTCCCTGTCTCCCTGTCCTTCTCTCTCCCTGTACTCCAATTCCCTCAACCTCACATCTATGCTCAAAGAGCACACCCCATACCCAGTCTTTCCTTCTGTGTCCTTCCAGAACCTCCTCCTCCTTTGAGTTTCGGACCTGGGATCCAGAGGGAGTGATTTTTTATGGTGATACCAATCCAGAGGATGACTGGTTTGTGCTGGGACTTCGGGATGGGAGGCCTGAGATCCAGCTTCATAATCACTGGGCCCAACTTACAGTGCGTGCTGGACCCCGGCTGGACGATGAGAGGTGGCACCAGGTAAGCCAGATCTGGTCCTGAGGGAGGGGTGTCTTGAGCTGGTGTGAGGAAGGGAATGGAACCAAGTTATTGGGCATCTCTTTACCATTGTCTTCTCATTGAATCCACACAAAAGCCCCATGAAATTGCTTTTTTTTTTTTTTTTTTGGCCACACCTCTTGACATGCGGGATCTTAGTTCCCTGACCAGGGATTAAACCCGTGCCCCCCACAGTGGAAGCACAGAGTCTTTTTTGTTTTTTAATATAATTTTATTTATTTTTTTGGCTGCATTGGGTCTTTGTTGCGGTGCGCAGGCTTCTCATTGTGGTGGCTTCTCTTGTTGCGGAGCACGGGCTCTAGGCGTGCGGGCTTCAGTAGTTGTAGCACGCAGGCTCAGTAGTTGTGGCTCACGGGCTCTAGAGCGCAGGCTCAGTAGTTGTGGCACACAAGCTTAGTTTCTCCAAGACATGTGGGATCTTCCCGGACCAGGGATCAAACCCGTGTCCTCTGCATTGGCAGGCGGATTCTGAACCACTGCACCACCAGGGAAGTCCCGGAATTGCAGAGTCTTAACCACTAGACCGCCAGGGAAGTCCCAGAAGTTGCTATTCTTGTCCCCATTTTTTCAGAAGGGAGTTCTGAGGCTTTGTTAGTATGTAAGGGATGCCAGCTGACTCTTCAAGTACATGTTCTTTCTGCCATACCAGACTGCCTCTGGTAGGTTCAAGTCTTTTTTCGTAGATGGTTGCTCAGCAGTTAGTTGTGGTTTTGGTGTCTTCATGAGAGGAGGTGAGCTCAAGTCCTTCTACTCTGCCATCTTCAGTATGGCATTTTCTAGACTGCCTCTGAAGAAAGTGGTGGAGGCAGGCCCCAGGAACCTCTGATTCTTCTTCTCTTTTTCTTCTTGCAGATGGAAGTGAAGATCCATGCGGATTCTGTGATGCTAGGGCTGGATGGGGAGGAGGTGCTGCATCTGAGACAGGTCTCTGGGCCACTGGCGCACAAACCCCAGCCCATCGTGAAGATTGTTCTGGGGGTGCTGCTCTTCCCTGCCTCCAAACTCTGGTTGCGGGTAGCTGCGTCACAGGGGCAGGAACCATGACCAAAGCTCGTAAAGCATTGCTGGCTGGGTGGCCCTGGGGGTCTAAGTCCACACTTCAAGGAGGGGGTATGGGGTGAGAGCTGCATGGGGGAGGCCAAATGCTTGCATCTTGGAGGGGAATAAACAGGGTGGGAGTCTGGGACTGGCGCTCAGATATCCTGATTCCAGCATCCCCCGCATCTTCCCTTCCCCACACGGGCTCCAGCTGGTCCCTGCCCTGGATGGCTGCCTGCGCCGGGAAGACTGGCTGGACCAGCAGGCCCAGACCTCAGCATCTGTCCCCACTAGTCTCAGAAGCTGTGCTGTAGAGTCTCAACCTGGGATATTCTTCCCGCCAGGGACTGGTGCAGAATTCAGTCTCGAAGGTAAAGGGTATTTTCCCCTCCATGGCCAGCTCTGTGTCCATTTCCCTCCAGCACTAGCCCCTTCTCTCCATGAATCCCCAGCCTTCAGACCTCAGGAGGGTCATTTCTCCCCCCAGACATTCCCTGGCCTCATGTAGAGCCCTGGGCCTTCTCCTTGGACCTGGGACTCCAGCTAGCAGCAGGCTCAGGCCACCTCCTTGCCCTTGGGACCCCAGAAAACCCTTTCTGGCTCAGCCTCCACCTCCAAGATCAAGTAAGAGGGAGATGCTGGCTGCATTCAGTGGAGCCTGGGAGCGGTGGGAGAAAAGGGGACTCTAAAATGTCAATATTACGAAAAAATAAAGAAATAAAAATAAAATAAAATGTCAATATTACAATGGTTTAAGGGTTGGGGTGGGCGGGCAGAGACACATATTAAAGCTGCCCACAGCAAACAGTGACTTGTAGTTAGATTATATATTTACCTGGGGAGGGTACGGTTTTATAGAAGGCCAAGCCAGGAGAATTAAGGCAGGATGGAGGTGGTGGGAATGGCCAGTAGATAGACTGCATGGCTAAGAGACAGAATTAAGGCAGCCAGGGGTGGGGCCACATGGAGCAGATGCAGTTCATTCTTTCCTCCCCCACTTATGTCCCTTCCCACACACTCTGCAGAAAGTGGTGCTGTCTTCTGTGTCAGGGCCAGGGCTGGATCTGCCCCTCATCTTGGGGATCACTCTTCAGCTGAAGCTGACTGTGTCCAAGGTGGTTTTGAGCCAGGGGACAAAGAAGGAGATCCTTGCTCTGCCTCCCATGGGCCCTGCCCCCCTCCTCAACCTCTGGGCCCAAACACAGGGGCGTCTCTTCCTGGAGGCTTTGCCAGGTAAGAAAGTGATGTTGAAGTTTCTTAGCACACCATGGGAAACAGCTAAGGGGAGGGGAAGAGGTGGGAAGGGATGCATTTTTAGGGGAAGGAAATCTCTGCGAGGGAAGAGGAGAAGGCCATAAGAAGAGAGAGGATAAGGGGACAGTGGGAGGAAGTGCTTTAAAAACTTTAGGTTAGAGGACTGGAAAAGTGGGGAGGAGCTTCTGGACCACGGCCACCCTAATGCCTCCTCCATACTACCTCGCTGTAGGAGAGGCCTCTTCTGCATCCTTTTGCTTGGATGGCCTTCGGGCACAAGGCCAGAGGCTGGACATGGACCGGGCCCTGAGCAGAAGCCAGGACATCTGGACTCACAGCTGCCCCCAGAGCCCAGGCAATGGCACCGACACTACCATTACATCCCCACCTAAGAACCTCCTTTGAATGTCACTCATTCATTTATTTAACAAATATTTACTGTGCATCTGCAATGTACCAGGCACTGTGCTGAGCATCGGGTTGCACTGATGAG